TAGTAGTAGTAGTAGTAGTAGTAGTAGTAGTAGTAGTAGTAGTAGTAGTAGTATCATTACTATTATTGTTGTTGCTATTGTTATTTAGTTATGTTATTGTCGTTTCTGTCGTTTCCAGTACTACCGTCGGCGGCGTCAAAAGAAGTATGGCAGTGACGGCGACGTGCAGGAGTGGCTGAGAAAGCTCAACAGACCCAGGAAGATCAAGATCTGCGTCATCATCGTCGTCATCATCGCTGTCGTCATCACCGGTATCGCTCTGGCTATCTACTACGGGACACCTTCTGGCACAGGGGAATCGAGTTCTTTAGTGGGGAGCGAATCGGTGGCCTCTGGCCCAGGGGGTTTTGGACCTATAATGATATAGTATTGACTCTTTAAAGACGTTATAGCAGTCAAATATGTTTTAGTAAGCGTTTTACGGCACTTGCAACACAATAAGGTTATGTAAGTGCCGAAGATGTGTGGCGTTTCAAGAGAGTAAAATTATTTTTAAAAGATGGAGGAAATATAAAGACGATAGTTGTTTGATAGGACAAATATGTTGAATAACCAGCAGATCAAAGACAATGTTGAGGCACATTTTTAGCAATCTAACACAAATCAGAAAGACGAATTAGCATGTTCCATAATATTAATGTAGGTTGTTGCCTGCCTGTTTAAAATTTCAGATAAAAGAAAACAGAACATAAAACTCGGTATGAATAACGAATTTATGCTTCTTTTTAAAGTGCCCCAAATGTTGTCAAATAATAATGACTTAAAAATGAAAGAATATATTATATATATAACATGTTTTATGTTACCACATATAAAAATGGTTACGACAGCTTTATGAAAAACAATACAATCAGGGGGAAAAAACTGAGCTGATAAAGAGGTTGGGCAGAGGGAAGGTATGGAGTACACTGGTCGTTAATTATATCTGCTCCCTGAAGAAGAAGAAGAAGAAGAAGAAGAAGAAGAAGAAGAAGAAGAAGAAGAAGAAGAAGAAGAAGAAGAAGAAGAAA